GAAATAATCAAACTCAGGGCTGAAATCAACCAAATAGAAACAGAAAGAACAATACAAAATATCAATAAAACCAGGAGTTGGTTCTTTGAGAAAATCAACAAGATAGATAAACCCTTAGCCAGATTAACCAGAGGGCACAGAGACAGTATCCAAATTAATAAAATCAGAACTGAAAAGGGAGACATAACAACAGAAACTGAAGAAATTCAAAAAATCATCAGATCCTACTACAAAGGCCTATACTCAACAAAACTGGAAAACCTGGATGAAATGGACAATTTCCTAGACAGATACCAGGTACCGAAGTTAAACCAGGAGCAGATAAACCATCTAAATAGTCCCATAACCCCTCAGGAAATAGCAGCAGTCATCAAAAGCCTCCCCACTAAAAAAAGCCCAGGACCAGATGGTTTTAGTGCTGAATTCTATCAGACCTTCAAGGAAGACCTAATACCAATTCTCTTCAAACTATTCCACAAAATAGAGACAGAAGGAACACTACCCAATTCGTTCTATGAAGCTACAATTACACTCATACCCAAACCCCACAAGGACCCGACAAAGAAAGAGAACTTCAGACCAATCTCCCTCATGAACATCGATGCAAAAATACTCAATAAAATTCTAGCAAACCGAATCCAAGACCACATCAAAACAATCATCCATCATGATCAAGTAGGTTTTATCCCAGGAATGCAGGGATGGTTCAATATTCGGAAATCCATCAATGTAATCCACTATATAAACAAACTTAAAGAAAAAAACCACATGATCATCTCACTAGATGCTGAGAAAGCATTTGACAAAATTCAACATCCCTTCATGATAAAAGTCTTGGAAAGATCAGGAATTCAAGGCCCCTACCTAAACATAGTAAAAGCAATTTACAGCAAACCAGTAGCCAACATCAAGCTAAATGGAGAGAAACTTGAAGCAATCCCACTAAGATCAGGGACTAGACAAGGTTGCCCACTCTCCCCCTACCTATTCAATATAGTACTGGAAGTCTTAGCCAGAGCAATTAGACAGCAAAAAGAAGTCAAAGGGATACAAATAGGAAAGGAAGAAGTCAAAATATCGCTATTTGCAGATGATATGATAGTATACTTAAGTGACCCCCAAACTTCCACCAGAGAACTCCTAAACCTGATAAACAACTTCAGCAAAGTGGCTGGTTATAAAATCAACTCAAACAAATCAGTAGCCTTCCTCTACATGAAAGATAAACAGACTGAAAAAGAAATTAGGGAAATGACACCCTTCACAATAGTTGCAAATAATATAAAATACCTTGATGTGAATCTAACCAAGCAAGTGAAAGACCTGTATGACAAGAACTTCAAGTCTCTGAAGAAAGAAATTGAAGAAGATCTCAGAAGATGGAAAGATCTCCCATGCTCATGGATTGGCAGGATTAATATAATAAAAATGGCCATCTTGCCAAAAGCAATCTACAGATTCAATGCAATCCCAATTAAAATCCCAACTCAATTCTTCACAGAGTTAGAAAAGGAAATTCTCAAATTCATATGGAATAACAAAAAACCCAGGATAGCGAAAACTATTCTCAGCAATAAAAACTTCTGGAGGAATCACCATCCCTGACCTCAAGCTGTACTACAGAGCAATAGTGATAAAAACTACCTGGTATTGGTACAGAGACAGGCAGGAAGATCAATGGAATAGAATTGAAGACCCAGAAATGAACCCACACTCCTATGGTCACTTGATCTTTGACAAAGGAGCTAAAACTGTCCAGTGGAAAAAGGACAGCATTTTCAACAAATGGTGCTGGTTCAACTGGAAGACAACATGTAGAAGAATGAAAATTGATCCATTCTTATCCCCTTGTACAAAGCTCAAGTCTAAGTGGATAAAGGACCTCCACATAAAACCAGATACACTGAAACTAATAGAAGAGAAGGTGGGGAAAAGCCACACACTTGGGCACAGGGGAAAAGTTCCTGAACAGAACTCCAATGGCATATGCTCTAAGATCGAGAATTGACAAATGGGACTTCATAAAATTGCAAAGTTTCTGTAAGGCAAAGGACACTGTCAATAGGACAAAACGACAACCAACAAGTTGGGAAAAGATCTTTACCAATCCTTCATCTGATAGAGGGCTAATATCCAATATATACAAAGAACTCAAGAAATTAGACTCCAGACAACCAAATTACCCTATTAAAAAATGGGGTATAGAGCTTAACAAAGAATTTTCAACGGAAGAAACTCGAATGGCCGAGAAGCACCTAAAGAAATGTTCAGCATCCTTAGTCGTCAGGGAAATGCAAATCAAAACAACCCTGAGATTCCATCTCACACCAGTCAGAATGGCTAAGATTAAAAACTCAGGTGATAGTAGATGCTGGCGAGGGTGTGGAGAAAGAGGAACACTCCTCCATTGTTGGTGGGACTGCAAGATGGTGCAACCACTTTGGAAATCAGTGTGGCGGTTCCTCAGAAAATTGGACATAGCATTACCCGAGGATCCAGCTATACCACTCCTAGGCATATACCCAGAAGATGCTCGAACATATAACAAGGACATATGCTCAACTATGTTCATAGCAGCCTTATTTATAATAGCCAGGAGCTGGAAAGAACCCAGATGTCCTTCAACTGAGGAATGGATTCAAAAAATGTGGTATATTTACACAATGGAGTATTACTCAGCTATTAAAAACAATGAATTCGAGAGGTTCCTAGGTAAATGGATGGAACTAGAAATTATCATCCTGAGTGAGGTAAACCAATCACAAAAGAAGACACATGGTATTCACTCACTGATTATTGGATATTAGCCTAGAACCTTGAAATGCCCAAGATGCAACTCACAGGCCACATGAAGCCCATAAAGAAGGAAGACCAAGTGAGGGTGATTCGGTCCTTCTTAGAAGGAGCAACAAAATACTCAAGGGAGCAAATATGGAGACAAAGTGAGGGACAGAAACTGAAGGAGGGGCCGTCTCAAGACCACTCCACCTGAGTATCTATCCCATGTGCAATCACCAAAGGTAGATGCTGATGTGGAAGACAGGAAGTGCATGCTGATAAGAGCCTGATAATGGATATCTCCTCAGAGGCCTTCAAGAGTCAGACATATTCAGAGGCAGATGCTCACAACTAGCCATTGAACTGATCATGGGGTTCTCAATAGAGGAGTTAGAGTGAAGACTGAAGGAGCTGAAAGGACTTATGGCACCATGAGGAGAGCAACAATACCAACCAACCACAGCTCCCAGGGTCTAAACCACCAGCCTTGGAGCACTTAGGGGGGGATCCAGGGCTTCAGCTGAATATGTAAAAGTGGAGGGCCCTGCTGGGCATAGGTGGAAGAAGAGAACCTTGACCTCATGAAGGCTGGATGCCCCAGGGGGTGGGAATTTTGAGGGTGGGGAGGTGGGAATGGGGGGGGTAGATAGAGGTTACATCCACAGAGAAGAAGGAGGAGGGGTGAGGGGATTGGGGGTTCCGAGGGGGTGGTGGGGGATGGGGTAAGGGGAAAACATAGGAAATGTAAATAAATCATCCAATAAAAAAAAAAAAGAAAACAGCCGGGAAATTCAGAAAGTTCTTAGCAGTTTTTTTTTTTTTTTTAATTGTTCTGACTTGGCTGAGAACGGGAAGGCTGGCATGCAAGGCTGAGGGACAAGTGAGGGAGCTGCAGGTGCAGGAAACCTATTAGGGCTATGGTTGGTGCTCAGCAGCCTGGGGTCTAGCTTACAGTTAAGTTCTCCAGAGCAGTGCTCTTATATTTGTGTGGTTCTAGAAGTCAAAGGAACACAACCTTCCTTAAGAAGAGGATTTCTGAAATGCATGAAAATACTCAGACGATAGCATCAATGAGAAGATCCTTTAACGAAAAAAATCTAGAGCAATTGTCAATGCTTGTGTGAGTCCTTTGATAAGTGTGGGGCATTGGTGATCCCAGCATTCCTGTCTCCTGTGGGATTGACCTCATAGAAACTTGGGTACAGTTAAGATGAACTAGAACTCTGGTTGCTCAACAGCCTTGAGGCCTTCCCAGAGACTATGCCCTCCCCTACCTGAAGACAGGGAGCAAGAAAAGGGGGAGACTTACAGCTCTTAAGACTCACAGTGGGTCTTACAGTGTGGATGGAGGTCATCCTTCATCCACAGGAGAAGGTCATCATGAAGGGTAACCCTGAAAAGATCTTCTAAATGAGGTCACTGCTGTTCATCTAAGGGTCACTGGTAACTTTAGCAAATGGTAAATTGGAGAGCAGAGATTAGGTTTTAATATATGTCCCTAGAAGGGGTTGATAATGGAGCTAAAAAGAAAAAAAAAGCTCCATAGAAAAGAAATCACATTTCATTTTAGTTTGGTAAAAAAATGACAATCCTTCTATGATGGTGTACTGAGACAATTAGATCATTGACTACAGGTAGCTGTTGCTATTACAGCTATCAATTAGTGACTCCCAGGCTCCATGCCAGCTGGTTATTTATGCACCAAATGTTTACTCTCACCCTCGAAGGCATCTCATTGCAAAGGCCACAGAGCCCAGGGAAGTAAGCTAACCTGCGAGGGACTCCAGATGAGTTGCATGACTCCAGAGCGCCCGTGTTTCTATGGAACTGAGCTAGCGATCTTGGACAAATGAGCAGACAAGCAAAGGTGTCAAAGGAGATTTAATAGGACTGTTATTCTTAAAAGCATTTCAGGAAAAGAAGAAATTAGTATGAAAGGGTAGAAGTAGGCAACAGTGAGTGACTAGATTTTTTTTTCTTTTTTTCTTTTTTTTTTTTTTGGGTAAATGATTCTTGTCAAAATGTCTGTTGTCTTAGTTAACTTTTAGATGTAGTTTTAGAAATCAGCCAACAGTTTAGGAGCTCAGGGATCAGGCGAAAATTTCATGTTATGGAACAGCTATTTTTGCTATGAATATAAGTAGTCCCAACTATGTGTATTTGTTTGCAATGGAATGCTAAAATGTAAGGTTAACAAATACTTCTCTCCCTCCCCCTCACAGATACTTCTTGTGCCTTCAACTGAGGCAGGACATCGCCTCTGGCCGCCTGCCCTGCTCCTTTGTGACTCACGCCCTCTTGGGATCCTACACCCTGCAGGCTGAGCATGGGGACTATGACCCAGAGGAGTATGAGAGTATTGATCTTGGTGACTTCCAGTTTGCCCCGGTCCACACCAAGGAGCTGGAGGAAAAGGTGGCAGAACTGCATAAAACTCACAGGTCTGTGGATGAGCTGGCGGGAGGCAGTCACCATGGCAGGCAGACATAGGCAGAGGGCTTGCTCAGCATTGAGAAGCAGGTTTTAGCCTGTCTACTGGCTCTTTTTCCTTTTTAGTGTAATATGGGGATTGTGTTCTTGATAGACTCCTGCATCAGAATAGTGCATATTCCCATACGACACTTCTCCCTCACTCTAGCAAGAAGCAGACTTGTGTGCATTCTGGTTTGACATTACATTTCTCCTACCTCTTAGTTTAAAATATAAAGTATTACTATATTTTATAAGAAAGCCAGGGAGATAGTGAGGATAGATGATATCAAAACACACTGTATTCATGTTTGAGGTTTTTCAAAATAATACTTTTTAAAAAGCTAAGCAGGTATTGGAGCATCAAGATTTGAATTAGAAGTGCAGGTAGTAATGGATGGTGGACAGCTGAACTGCACAGCTGGCCCCACGAGCCACAGCGCATGTCCCTTTGTTTAGGTGAGGAGTGCTTAAAGTACTTGAATTATGTACACTTTTGAATACTTTCATATTTCTGTCAAATGGAGTTTTATATGAGTTTTTAAATATTTCTCTTAAGCTACAAAATATTTATATATTAAGGCCATAATTTTAATGGAATATTGACCAAAATCATTTGAATAACTTTCAGAGATTTAAAATTCTTAAGGGGCATTATACATTAACTTATTGTTTAAAAAAAATTAAAAGAGCAACATTTGATCCTCCCACACATCCCATATTGAAATTCTATTCAACAGATGCTTATTTTGTCACCCAGATTTGAATTGGTAGGTATAAAATGGTGTGTTGGAAATGAAGACTTTTGGGGCAGAGATCGGTTTGCCAGTTGCTTAAGTTTGGCTGGAGAAATAGACAGGAATAAAAATATATTTCTGTAGGCAGAATACTATGCTGTTTGTCATACTTAGAAAATTAAATACAAGTAATTCTGATCAATCCTAGCAAAATCAAATGAACAAATAAGAATTTACCAGTTTTAAAAAGGTGAAGTCACAGTTTATTCTCTCCCGGTCGGCTTATGTTACAACCATATTGCTCGGGCTATTCTCCATGGTGAGAACAACGAAGAGTGTCATTTTAAGGACAAAGTGGTAAAGGGGAAAGCCCACCTTCTTGAGTGCACAGGCTGAGACTCACTGATCTTAGAGGCAGCAGTAGAGGCAGAGCTGCATCTTGTCTCCTGCTCTTCTACAGCGTGCCACAGTTACCCCCTGACTGTGAGCCTGGAGAGTCCTGCCACAGTTACCCCCTGACTGTGAGCCTGGAGAGTCCTGCCACAGTTACCCCTGACTGTGAGCCTGGAGAGTCCTG